AAAAGAAAGAAAGAAAAAAGAGGCCGGGCGCAGTGCCTCACGCCTGTAATCCCAGCACTTTGGGAGGCCAAGGCGGGCGGATCATGAGGTCAGGAGATCAAGACCATCCCAGCTAACACGGTGAAACCCCGTCTTTACTAAAAATACAAAAAAATTAGCCAGACATGGTGGCAGGTACCTGTAGTCCCAGCTACTTGCAGGCTGAGGCCAGGAGAACGGCGTGAACCTGGGAGGCGGAGCTTGCAGTGAGCCAAGATTGCGCCACTGCACTCCTGCCTGGGCGACAGGGCGAGACTCTATCTCAAAAAAAAAAAAAAGTAATTCAAAGAAGAAAAGATAAGCCAGCTTATATGACTAACCATAAATGTTTTAACTGGACAATAAATACTTTGAGTTGGAAGGAGTCAAGGGAGTGGTGTAAATACAAGTTTGTAATCAGATCAGGGTTTATGCAAATAGAAAAAGGCATACAAAGTAAACCAAGCAACACTAGGTTGTTCTATTGTCTTACAGCTGGGATAAAGCAATCACGTGCTCTTGTGGGAAAGTAGAAACCTGATGGTAATTTTAAGCAAGTCAAAGGATAAACAATCTTATCACTGTTAGGTCAAACCAGAACCTAGGGAAAGGCAAAGACAAATTCAAATATTACATTACTATCCAGGAACTGGATTGGCTAATCTAAAAATGAATTTTAAAATTTCAGATATTTACCAAACAAAAAAGTAAACACTGCCTACCAATGACTGTGTACAAGGATTCTACTTTTAAAGCTCTAGCTCATTTATGAAAATGTTATGACTTCGGTGATGACACAATTATCAAATTTGAGGCAAACAGAATTAATCGACTCCTTCAAAAGTAAATGTGCGTTAAGTGGATATAGACAACTGGTAGTACTAGCACAGCATTTACACAAAACACAAAGAGGTCATGTTGCACCAGCATTTACCCAGAACTACGTAGCTCTCAGTCTTTATGTAAGTAACTCTCTTGCTAAATTACTTCTGGACCTTACTTCTGCACAGACTGCCAAGTAGCAAACAGTTGTGCCATCTAATGAGGTGAATACTAGGCAATAAGGGATCACCCATGTTTTCCTGGAATTGAAGATGGATGCTGGAATAGGTACAAATACTCCAGTAGGTGAGAAATTCCAGAATTCTGAATCCAAGTTACACAAATTTGTTTTCTGGCTGAAGACCGCCAATTATCTGCTCCCAAACACAGAAGCTACATTGAGTACATTGACATGAAATACATTCATTCGATTCTATGGCACTGAAGGAAGCTGTTACAACATAGGAGGCCTTTCACATGAATAAAATAACTCAGTTTTTAGTCACGTAAACAAACAGCACCATTTAGCTCCAAGAAAGATTATTGGACTGTGAAATGGAAAAAACTGGTGTCTTCACCCTATTTCCATGCTTGTTGGCTATATGATCTTGGGCAAGTCACTTAAGACTCTGTAAAATCAAAATAACATCACGTGCTTTAACTATTTCCTAAGGCTAGAGTCAGAATAAAGCAAGAATGTCTGAAAGTGCTTTGAACACTGAAACACACTATACAAGTGTGTTTACGAGGAATAAAATACCTAAGAAAAATTATAACTAGAAAAGCTTAAGAGCATGGTGATCAATAAATGTGCTATCATTTCTCAGGAAAAAAAACCCCATGTTTACAATATTATAAAAGACTTCGCTAACCAAAGGGAGATGCAATGTCAGTGCCACTTCACTTGGGCTGGTCTATCCTGGAAAGAGAAAGTCTAATATTGGCATACATCAAATTTGGCTTCCACTTGACACTCTGTGTCA